ATAAATGTATAATACCAATGTTAATGTACAAAAAACTTTATTCACAAACATTCAAATCAATAATGTTCAAGTCATAAAAAAATCCAGAAATTGTATTATGTTCTGATGTAAAGTAGCAATAAATAAATATTCTTAAAGGAAACGTCTTTCCATCCATTCCGCTCCCAGCACACATACCGTAAGCGCGCGATTAGACGCGCAGAACAAAGAAACGTGGGGCTGGCTTGACCGTGTATTTTCACGTAGTTTAACTCAGTTCAGTTTACAACCGTTTTGTCTATGTGTTTATCGTGTATCCTGTTATTGGTTAACAATTTATATTAAACGCCTTTTATATGAATGATATAGCCTACCTTTTTGGCTTGGCTAGCGTATGTGTAATTTATTTTTTATTGTGTTTTGTAAATAATTATATAAAACTTGATTTGCAAGTGCATGAATATGTATAAAGTTTCAGTTGTACAAAATAATAATAACAAATAATTATATATAAAAAAAGTGCATTTACACGTCCACTCTTTGAAAGTCAAGTAAAAAAGTAAAAGATTATTTGTATAATTAAATTCATTTATTTAAATGATTACTTTTATTAAAATGGTGTGTGTTTTGCCTTTTCTATTTTTTTTATCATTCTCACCCAAGGGACTCGTGCACATATTATTCAGTGAAAATCAGAATCAGAATCAGAATCAGAATCAGAAAGAGCTTTATTGCCAAGTATGTTTGCACATACAAGGAATTTGTTATAGTGTCACAAGCTTCCAGTACACGGAGACAACAACAACACACAGATAATAAAAATGAGATGTGAATAAAATACACATGCATAAATATAAACAAAAAAAAAAGGAATAAATTGTATGTACAGGTGTGCTATAGATGGAATAGGAATAGAATAAAATAAAATAAGTTGTAGGGATGTACTAGGGTTTAGGGTGATAAATAAGTATAAGGTTATTGCACATACTGTACTTTAATTGCACAATGGGAGAACATTAACTGTTCATGAAATGCAGAACTGATCGATCAGTGCAAAACATGGGCGTGTCTGTAGGTGGGGAGATTTAGCAATATGCAATGTTTCATATTCACAAACAAATACACAAATTAATCTCTTTCCATTTGTCTGTGAATGCAGAACAAATGTCACGCATAGGAAGACAATCTGTACCACATCCGCCTGTCAGAGCACCTCCTCTACTGATCAAAACAGCATTGCTTTTAGGCTATTTGATTGGATATTTCCCTTTTTTCACGCGTGATCTCATTTCCTGTACAGTGACAAGCTATATTTATTTATTCATGTATCTGCTTGGGCTAGAAATGTAAGCGACTGGCTTGTTACTGTATATAACATAAGAGCTGGATCACTGGAGACAGACGGAGTGTTTATGCAGCTGTCAACTCGCGCCACTGCACGAAATGGTTTGCAGAACGTACATAAGCGTTATTCTTTGATATAAAAAGCGGCCTGGTTTTGGTAAGCTTCACTTTAAATGGTCCTTTTTCTTCATTTTGTATCAGTAATTGTTCAGAAAATACGGTCTGTTCCATTCAGGGCTTGTGTAGAGCGCATATAAATCGCTACTCTTTGGGAGCAAACGAATGCTGTCTTTCCGTTTGGGCAAAAATAAAAAATAAACGACTGGAACGATACTTGCTGCAGTAGATAGTTAGCTGTGTGTTGCATTAACGTCGTAACGCGTTTTAGCGAGCTTCGCGTTAGTGCCAGCGGAAGGGCCTCGTGCCTCCCGGATCAATTCAAGCACGAGCGCATTTAACGTTAACACTCTGGCGCGTGGGCAAGATGAAAAGTCTTCGCCAAGATGCTTACAGCGTTGCATAACCTGTGGCTTAATGAAGGGAACCATGACCTGAGCAGTGATGGCTGGTAAAGCTGTATGAAATTGTTTCTCAAGAATGAGTGAGAACTAACGATGGGAGAAAGGAAGCTTTCCGAAACTTCGAATCAAGTGAACCAATTACTGAGAAAAACGATTCACCGTTTTTAAACGCTGGAAACCCCACACGAAAACTCAGGCCAACATGCTTAAAAACACCCTTTACAAACCAATTGCAAGTGTTTTATTGGAAGTTTAATCTGTTAAATACTATTAACAAATCATGTAGGCCTAATACCATTCATATGCGTTATTATTAAGAGGGTTTGTTTTGTCTGATTTATGGAGAGCTTGGTTAATCAGGCCAATAAGAATGTATTAACTGTCACACTTGCTTTTTATTATACAAATGCATCATTAAAATGTCCACAAATGTAGGTAAAACAATATAGAAACTGGTTCAGGTGTTTACAGAGATTATTAGAGACATTTCTGAACAGTAACAAAGCTTAGATGGCTGAAATCACACGACTCTGGCGGTTCGATAAGTGCTTTGAAAGAAATGATTTGCAAAGGTTTCGATGCTTCATAAAGCAGTGTTTTGAAACCGTTTAATATCTCGAGTGAGGAAATGTTCAGGAAGTTTCTCAGAATTTGTGCTTATTGAGGAATAATCCTGGTTCTTATGTCTTTCAGATGTA